CGTCGCTCGACCGATCGCACCTTTTGGATGCCGCCTTTGCTTTTATGCCCGACGAGGGTCAACCTCTCCGTGACGGTCCCTCATTTATTATTGCGGGAGGCACCTTCTGATTCGATTTCCTACTAATTATTATGAGTACTAAAACGGTTTGCGCCGGCTTGGCCTTCGCTGAGCTTTTTATAGCTATAACGAGCTCGAAAACGGCCTGTTGGTTGCCAATCTGGCTGGTGAGGATTATGCAAGCTGACAGCTCATACACCATATGTGGGATTTATGCATCCAGTTGTCATCGTTGTGGAAGGATCTACGCAAAATCTGTAAGGGCAAGCGAATCTCTTACGAGGGAGAATATGCGGAAATGCGTGCTGTGATTCACTCGTCCATTACTTGGATAAGATGGCGCTCCTGCTTTAGTAACTGCAGCCAATCCATTTGCATGCATTAGAATACGGCAGTGCTCATCGGATTGCTGCCATCCAGCTAGGTTTCGTTCAACATGCTCACGACATCCTCAGCATTACATTTGATGTATTGCTCTGCATCATATGCATGACAATGTTCAGGAAAAAGTGGCCGTTGAAATGTAGCCGAACTAGCTGTTCCGGCGGTTGCAATAAATTGTTTACTGAAATTTACGTCCGCTGAAAGTGGAAAATGATAGGGTTCATTGAATCCAGTCGGGTGCACTCCCTTTGGAAACTGCCTTGCAGATTATTTACGATTGTAAAGGTGCGCTCTCTTCTCATTTACAGATTATAAAGGTGCGCTCTCTTCTCACCTTCATGGCATTATAAAGGACGTGACGACCACTCTCATTAGTCACCTCAGGATCTGGAACTAAGCTGGAGCTCATTAGACTTGATGACTCTGGGTACAGGTGACACTGCCATTAGTGCTCGAAGCAGGTAATGAACAAGCTTGTAATCACAAAATCCGACGGATTATCTACGACGTTCGGCCCTTTCTATGGGAAATCCGCTCTTATGAAGCCATGGTTAGGTGTGTTGTTGTTGACCTGAGAGGTGCGTAATTGCGCGCACCTTGGCTTGTTTTCTGGCTAAATATGTCTTTCTGTGCTCCATAATGGATGGGTGTCATATTGCAACCTTTATGGAAGACTAACATCCACCCAGCATAGATTAGAGGTGCTTTGAGGTGAAGGCTGGCCGTTTGCAACCATGTTTGGTTGCCGACCATCCGATCCTTGTGTTTGGACAGAAGCAGCAGCAGCAGTCAGTCAGACGAGACAACAATGTAAGAGGGATCTAGTGGTCATTCACTTGACGATCTCATGTTTGTAAGAGAAATCCAGTGTCAACTGCTATGCCAGTCAAGAGCCCATTCTTTGTGCGGTGCAGTGTTTACCACAAAGATTACGGACATTGAGAGAGGTACCCGAAGTGGTATTGCTCTTCGGCGTATCGTGAGTTATCAGAGTCGTGGTCCTTGTTGCAATTTACTAATAGCCCAATCATTTGGATGCAATGGACGACAGCAATGAAAGGATTAGGTAAGGACAAATCGTGGGAAAGCTAGCCTGCATTGCGCCACTTACTAATTGTCCCCCGGGCGTGCCAGATCTTAGTCGATGATTAAGTTGGTGTCGTGTGAACACACTACCACGTTTCCATATCCAGAGCAATCATCAGATGCGGTCCGGATGTGTCATGCACTGTCAACGTGCCAATCATTTTTCGCTGTCTGCCAGTACTGTCACCGGATGCGCGTAAGACTTGTCAGATCAGTTCTCGAGTGCGAGATGATTTGAGCGATATAGTGGTGGGTGCGCTAATTTTTCTTGATATGTTGTATAGCTGTGAGATTCCTGTGCAGCATAACAGCCTGGTGTGGTCTTGTAATTTGAGATGGGCATTCATCCACTGAAGGCCTCCAACGTTGCGCAATGGGCTGTTTGGACTCGCTCGAGTGTTTCACGGATGCATGAGGTCAGGATGGATCTTGATTCTGATGCCTTACAAATCGATTCGGATGTGTTTGATATCAACAATTCGGGGGAGGGGGAGCTGGATCGCTTTAGTTGTCTGGCAGCAATGCTCTCTGGCTGTTATTGTTTGTGACCCTACGAGTTCTTGGATTATTAACTGGATTAACGCCGACTGGAAGCTATCCGTCCCTCATTAATGCAAGAGGGTGCAAAGCGGCGGAGACATTACTCCCTATAAACTGCCATTTAGTCGCAATCCATTCAAATAGAGCATTTTACTCGGAGGACCCTTCAAAACGCTCTTTTGAAAGTAGATATGGCATAAGCGACAGAAGTTTCTCATATTTTCGAATGGACAGCTGTGGGAAGTGAGAGAATCCTCAAGTTTTCGTTGCCAATACTGTGAGCTGTAGTAGTTGAGCAGGTATTTCCCAGGTGATCTCATTACCACATACTTTTCGCCCTCTCTCAATGATATTTGCGGTATACGCGTAAGATAGCAGCAAAAAGGTCATTCGCGTGAGTTATGGTTTTCTGTGATTAGATTACTGCTTGATACGCGCTCCCGAACACGTTAGTTACAAAATTCTGGGTTACGGTATTGCTTATTCGATGAGAAGGGCCACTGAAGACCGAGATTGGTGTTGATTCGGAGGATTAGTTGCGTCATAAAGTGTTGCTCGATGAGCTTTACGTGGTCAGCAGGGGTCAGGAAATGTGACCGGATGCGGATCGACTGCGATTCCCTCACCGAACCAATTCCATATCCTCCGCTCACATTAATGGTGACTATAGTGAAAGTTGTAGAGAGAATTGAGGGTCGCTTTGGAAATAAATTACACTTTTTTATTATTTCCCTGCTACCTGTTTTCGCTGTTGTTCGCGCTTTTCATGGGGCTGCATGGAAGTTTTTTTCCTAGTTTGGGCCTGTTCCCATTTACGCGCTGTGATATGGCGCCAGCTTTTTGTGCCACGTCTCATTTCACTGCAGTGCTGCGAGAAATGCCCTGCGACCGTGACTTTTTTCATGCGAAAGTTGCCTTTCCTAGGTTCCTCTAATGGGACTAGGTGCACCGGGGAAGAGGTGCAAACCGGACCATATCGGAGTAGTGGCACTTGTTTCCGCTCCACCGACGCCAACGATCGTTTCGCGGATTCGTAGCCGTCTAGAAGGTCATCTGATCCGTAAATTCACCAAGTAGGGGTTTCGATTCGAGCACAGGTGTTCGCGATGCGTCCTTTTGATGAAAATTCGGTGTGGCTGCTCGGCATTCACGAGTCACAGCACCAATGACTACCGCGATCGCCGTACGGTCGCCTGAAATTTATAACCGCTTCAAATTGGCCCGTATGAGATATGGCGATCGACTTGTCAGCGCGTTTGCTTTAAATAGTGCATTACGGTACGTCGTACTTACAGGAAAAAGCGTCAATCAGATATGTTTACCAGTGAGCAGGTCGTGCCAATTTCGTGTCTTGTTGTGGTCTTGTTGGTAATGTGGCGGATGTGACGAGGTCGCGCTTCAATACCGCACCAATTAGCGAAATCTCGATGGGACGACCCTAATTGGGGCTCACCCTCTACCTGCACTTTCGTCCACTTTAGTATCGTTGAGCTCGTGGATCTTAGTCTTGTCCAGTGACAGCAGTTGTAGCATGGCACCACCTGCTTCATTTACTCAGGTGTCTATACACCAATAATCGCGCGCAGCGTCCATATGAGCGCCCCGTTCGGAGTTCTGACTTCATCAGATAATTTTTTTGTTCTTTGGTAATTTACTGCTGAGGCGCCAGATGCCGTTGTGCCGCGTTATCTGATCGGTCAAAGCGTTTTTATGTGCTGCTGGGTGTGATGCGGTTAACGATGTACAAAGGGGCGTAAAGGCATGTGTTCATGGTATACGGTCGATTGGGCTCATTACCGAACCGCATATGCAGATCTTTCGGCTCGCCGACGGAATTGTCCGCATATGATGGCAAAAACCGCATAAGTAGTGGATGAATAGTACGGTTAAGGTCAAATGGCCGAGTGGGCATACCTGACAGGCCTATCCATTGTTTGGTATATTTGCATATCTATAGTTGCCGCGAACTTTATGAGTAGAGCGGTACTGGTTGGTCACGACCGTCACACTGCGACCCAATGAATTTTCGCCGCCGCATGTGTCTCCCGTTGGACAACCAGTCGAATTTGGTGGGCGCAGCTGCCGACGGATAGCTTCTTTTGTGAGGAGTTGAATGGCGGAGTGAACGGCTGAATGGTCTAAGTCGTCGGAGTCTGTCGCGACGCTACGGTCGTCAGTTAATAGATCGGTAAATAGGCGCCGCTCGATAGGCGGTTGCCCTTTGACGAACCGCCAAAAACTCGTCAGATAAGGTCCGCGCTTCTCGAACTTCTTCTTATCAGCCAGTGTTCCCAGCTACTGTGAGATACTGGCAATAGCGTCTATTCAAACAAGCAGTCCAACTCGATGTCATGATAATTGTGGTTATTTCTTCACCAATGTGGGCAAATTGGTGCTACTGTAGCCGTCAATTACGGGAATGGACAGGTGTCAGGCGGTCAGCAAACAAATACTGATTCGATTTGGGTGTGGCACGGTCGGATATCAGGAACGGGCCAACGAGCAGAAAAACAGCTCTTCTTGATTCGCATTTTTTCCGTCTTTGACTATTTGATAGGTGAAGTGTTCTACGGTTAACAACGGCGGCCGTTTTTAGCGTAAGCACTTTTTGGGACCCAGCGTCATCGTAAAGCTTTTCCAAGCCGTCGTCGCCTCGACGTAATTCGTTCAGTAATCTGCTTAATGGGGTGTAGTGTGAGTGTCGGTGGAGTCAAACGCTGCAAGACAAGCGACAGACCGCCGAAGTCTTTCTTCTGTTGTAATGGGATTGAATCAGCGAGCGCATTGACCGGAAGACGGTCGGGCGGTGTCATTGGCGAGCATTGCGCAAGAGGGGTACGGAAGAAATTAGATTAGGTGCCGGTGTTGTTGTTTATTTACAGTGCCATGCCAGATTAATATCCGTTTTCAGTTTCCGTTTTCCCGATGAAATGTCAAACAGCATCACCGTGAGCATGGACGACACCTTGAGAGTTGTGTGCCCTGCTGCTGGAGTCGAAAAAAGATATCTGAAGATTCACAAGGTTTGTTGAAATTAAAGTGCTAATGTCCCTCTCTAACGCCTTTGTTTCCAGGTCAGCGCCTTATCATACGAATCTTGTCTTCTGGAGACACAAAGGACTCTGATAGCTACTTGTGATGGCAGCGAAGCATCTCAGAAACCTACCATCATAGGAGTACGGCGTTTCAGCCCGCTTCCATCGTCTAAATCTATACTATTTGAGCCAGGCGAAACCTACTATTGGATCGGTACGTCAGCTTCGTACAAATGCGTTGAATTATTGGGTATTTTATAAATCCCTGTTATGATCCTGATCGGAATCTTTTCACAAGCTCTCGGGTAATAGGCAGATTTGAATACGTCGATGGGGTACCAAACCCCTGTGGGTAACACTTGTCGCGTTGTCAAAGCTTCTGCAATGCCTTCTCTTTGTCCTATCTTTTGAATTTTTCTTACCTTTGTTTCTTAGAACTTGTTGTATTGCGTTTACATTACCTCCCGTCAATCTCACACTTCTTACTGTAAACAGTAAGTCCTGAGTCAATGTGAAGGAAAGCAGTAAGTGGGATCATGCATGTAGATTGAGACACTAATATTTGGGGGATAAGGTATCGAGTAAAAATATCGAGTTCGCAGGCAAAATGGAGGGCAAAAATTAGAAAAAAAACAAGTTTACTCAATGCTTCCTACTGTTGTTCCACTCGTAGCGAGTCTTGCCATGGTAGTCACAATAAATGTTTCAGCAACTTCAAGTGGAGAGAAGGATGGAATCAACCAAGCCCACCGTGGTATGTGTGCTGCAGACAATATGCGCCTTGTCATTCACGTCAGGGCGCAGTCAGATCCGTCCAGCACAGAATTTCGAACTACCACTGCGAGGAGTACTCGACAAGAATTGGCATTGTTACCATCGGAAACTCCTGGTGCGTTGGTGATTTTTCAGACATTTATATGAAATCTTGTATAGATGCGAACTCCATCACAGCAAATCCTCTCTAGGAGATGTCTTATTGAATCATTGTTTTCAGTTAACCCTAAATTTTCTGCCATAGCGCATTCGCTATCCTCATATCCACAACGGCGTGAACCAAAAGTTCCAGACGGTGTTACGCCTGAACAACTGCAGAAGGTATAATAGAATGTTGTGAGAGTAGCATTAGTACAAGGGATGTCTCATGAATATAACTGGTTCAGGTGGCGGCGCTCGCTCAAAAAGGCGCAACTGGGACGTTCACTTTTGATACACCAATGGCACAAGATCGCGAGGTTTGAAAGCTCTTTCTTCTCAATATCGATGTGTCGTCTTGATGTCGCCGCGTTCTTTGTTCTTGATTCTCATCATTTTTCCAGAAAGATGCTGCTTCTCGGGCGGAAAGCATTTTGTGGGACACCGTTCCGCTTTTGGAAAACGTCCTAAGTGGGGCCTCTGACAATTTGTTATTGGGCTCCAATCGAATTGGCGATGAGGAAGGAGGCGTTCATCGTTCACGAGGATATAGGTGAGGGTTTTATGCATCGTGAATTGCTAAACATTGCTCATTTTCAAAACTAACTACTTTACCTTATAGCGCGATCCTATGAGTACCAGTCGAATGCAGTCCGGACGCCGCCAGTGACTTCCATAATCTTTATGGGATTGTTGCTTTTTGTTTATCGAGTAGTACTTTGATGTTATGATTGTTTTGAGCGTCGCGTTTAACTATGGTTAGCTATCTTTGATCATGTGATCAAAGAGCACATACTCGATATGCTATGTTTGGGTTTCTGCCTTCGCCGGTTCATCAACGGGTTCCTTACTAGATCAGATGCGGCTCGTGGCGCTTTGTATATGCTGAGCACATTGTAATAATTTTCAATTTCAACGCATTATTCTTCTGTGATTTGTTTGCACCCGCATCGCTCACCACTGTTCCGGGCAGTGCAACGCTCCTTCAGGAGTGAATATATTGTGAAGTTAGTGCTCTTCTAGCTGACGCTCTTTCGTGATGAAGCTGCGTTCCCACCCCGCCCTTTCAGGGTTGTTCATTCATTTCTTGGTATTTCTGATCGTCAATCAATGTTTTTCTTTCCAAGATTCGTAACAACTGTTTTATATGTTTAAATGAGCATGCGATATTGCTGCAAGTCGTTGTTTTCTTTTGTATAGGAAAATTAGATAAAGATTTTATTCACATCACAGATAGAGTTGAAATAAGTGAAAATGATGAGACCATTTGAAGAGAATAGGTAGAGAGGTTTCACTGCTTCCTAGGTTACCGTAATCATGGAAAATCGAGTGAATCTAATTGACAAAGCTTCCCTTGGTGAAACTGTAGTTGGGGGGGGGGGGCACTCCATTGTGCTCCACAGTACTGAGGATAAGGATAAGAGTTTTCATGACACGTAATCGATTCATTTAAACAACTTCTGATAAGGACCGGTGTAGTGTGGAAGTACTCCTAAGGTGCTTTCAGATTTCGGCCTGCTGTGGTCCAAGGAAATGGTCCTGAACTAGGGTATGGGCATCCTTTCCTAGGCGCAAGGGTGTAGGAGCCCAGGGTGGACGAGGAAGCCCTTAGAAGAGGCATGCATTATTGCTAAGATGTGTGATCAGTTGCCGAGTGATGGTGAGCGAACTACACCGTCCTACCAAAAATCTGTCCAAAGAGTAGTAATACCCACATCTTATTATCTATAGCGGTTGAAGTTCAAAGAAGTCTTAACTGTGGATAAGATAACGGGGAGTGACCCTCCCCGAACTGGAGCTTCACCTCTTCGTTTAAATGTAGCCAAGTCTAAGAAAAGAACTAGCCCTAGGCTGGGCTGACTGATCACTACGGTTTCGGCCCATGTTTCAGGACCCGAGATGCCACGATTACGGTAGCCAACGAAAGAATGATTATCCCAGGGGTTGATGGCTACACTACCAAATCTGGATCGTGTGTGGCCATCAGGCAGACCATTGTCAAGCGTTCACGACATCAGTTTTCTTCGTGAAGCCTTTCAGCTCGTTCACAATATCGATAGTTTCACGACCTTTGGTCTCCGGAAGGAAGATGTAGACGTAGGTTAGAGCTAGTGAGCAGGGAACGATGTAGATGGGCACAAAGCAGACTGCACCGATGACCTGAAACAATCGTTATCAAACTGATTACTATCAACTAATCAATTCACTGCCCATACCGCTACTGCACAGATGGAGGAAAACAGACACCCATGAACAAATGCATATTTAAAGAGCGAGGTCGTCTTCTATTTATTCCACTTGGGTAATCGTTATATCGGCTCAGGTGGGAGAGACACTGCTGGGTGCATCGTGGCTACCTGAGACGGATGGTATCCGATTGATATCGACGCATGATCGCTCTATCGGAAACCAGCTGTGACATGGCTACGATTCACGTGATGGAATCCCCGACCTGATAGCACCCAACGACGTGGTGCTTGGCTGTCAGAAATGTTAGGCTAGGTTTCCTCAAATGGTGCATCGACAGCTGATAGACGACAGTGGAGGTGCAGGGCAGGGTCAAGCCGTCCGTTGTACAAAGTTCAACGAGGGGGTCGTATTTGGCCGACGAAAAGGGGGGGGGTCGTATTCGCAAGGTCGGAGGCAGTACCAATACTACACTAACGAGGAGTCGTACTGTTGATATATACCCCCCCCCTATCTCCCCGCTTCCCGCGCTCGACGGCTATTTTGGAGGAAATGGAGTTGGGCTGTGTCAACTGGTCTCAGAATCAAATACTATAGTAACAGCTGGGGGGGGGGCGTATCGAGGCCCTCCAGAAGGGGGGGTCGTAAAATTTTTGAAATTTGTCCAACGTGACGGTTGACCCTGGTGCAGCGGCCTGCGTATGCGAACTGCGATACTTCGTTGATTCTACTCTCTTTCGATAATAAAAATGATTAATGCTGTTAAGATACAGTCTATTTTAAGAACAGAATACATACGGCTTCCGATGACTCCAGCCAGCTTCCCCTTAATGCTCTCCGAGAAAGGGTATTAGAGGATTCTGTCATGCTCTCTCAGAGAAAGGTTTAGTAATAGTTGGCTTCCTCGAGAATCCTTAGTTTCGCTATATTTTCTTCCTATCAATAGCTGATTCGAATTCCACGGGAGCTTCAAAAAAATTTCTTAGAAAATTCAGGAAAGTTGGAATTGAATTAGTGTCGTCATTCTTGAGGAGAAACTGTCCTTCACCTAACTGGTGAACACAATTTATTGATGCACAGACGAACAAAAGAGAAAGGGATGAGAAATTTTTTACAGTTAATTTTTTTGCTTCAAAAGAATGTCAGCAGTAATTCAGAACAACTTCCTTTCTTTTTCGAAAACCTTAAAGGCACAGCCCCCCATGAGTTCAGTTGGATTAATGTTTTTGGAGGGTACTTGCTCGTAGAAGCTTCAGAATGTCCGTTCTCGCATATCAAAAAGGGCGTTAGAGCCTTCCCAAGACCTTCAAACAATTCTATTTGTCCTCATTTGCAAAATGCAGATTTCTGCGCCTTCTCATCCATCGTGCTCTCTCGTCGTCTGATTCTAGCCACTTAGCGGAGAGAGCGTTAGCGTTGAAGAGGGCAGCACTGATGAAAGTCGCATCAAGGCAGAAACCGAAACAGAATGGAACAGGCTGTCAACATTAGCATTTTCACGTAATCTTTTCTTTTTTGTCTGCAGCCCACTTGCTACCGAATGCTCTTTTTCATGTGCAAGAACAACACTGTTTGATCGTGGGTTTTACCTCTAAGCTGAACATAAAGTCATTATGAGCTTCACTGGCTCCAGAATCCACTTAGCGTCACTACTAAAGCAACGAAAGCGATTCCGAGTTTTCTTAAGGGTAATGACTTGAAATTCTCTATGTGTAATTGACCAACTTTCGCTGTCCTAAGCATCTATTAGGTAGATCGCAGCGGCTAGAATCCCCTATATTCCGATCGTATTTACCTTACGTCCACGAGTCAAAACCACAATTGGGATCACCTTAGAACAAAGCAAGTGCCTTCATTGGATGTAATCTGTTGCAGCTCTTCTGCAGAAGAAGCACAACATCAAGTGAAATCAACTATGCGTCAAAACATGACGCTCCACTGAGAAAGTGTTGAAGTTCTCCACTTATTCTCTGCCATGTTATTTTATAGGAATCATCAAGACTCACTAAGAGAAGTAATTGAATCACCAAACAGTCAAACTCACTCCAAGCAGCGGCACGGTAGCGAAATTGGTGAGCACGACGAGCACACTATGCACAGCGTAGCATAGGCAGAACATGGCTGATCGGTACTGCAGTGGCACCAATTCAGGTGAAATGAACCATGCAACCGGGTCCGACACCGACCGGATCGCTGGAATAGAATATGTAGCTAACTCCTTTTTCGGTAACGACAAAAGTACGGGGAAAGAATTTTCAAGCGCTGTACACAGGCTGATATTCCTACCATAGACTAAGGTTTCTCATAGGGATCGAGTTCTTGCCAAGATCCGATGGAAAGCAATTCCGGAAGGTTCGTATGAGAAATTTTTATAAGGTGAAGTTGGCGAAAGAAAACAATGTTTCATCACCTCACCACTGAAGTTTAAGTGAAATTAAGGACTTCAGAGCAATTTTTGATTACTGAGGTTGATATGTTGATAAGTGTCTTGTTTGTTTGTTTGTTTCGGCTGAGGAGTTCATCACACTCAGCGTGTCAGTGGTGATAAGCTATGATAAGTATATCATGAAAAGCTGAGTTACTGCAAAACGGTGCCCACAGCGTAATTCGTAGCGAACTTGCCCGGTAAGGAAGGAGTGCGAGCTTCGAGACACGTCTGGGCGTAAGTCTTTGCTCTCAAAGCCGCATAATTCTTTGTGAAACTAAAGCTCACATATCATGGAAATTGGCATCCGTTACGTAGGACAGATGACAATGCGAGAACAGGCCGCCACAGCTAAGTATTTGACGCAAGAATTCAGCAGAACACGATCACAGAAATAGCGAGTATGCAAGATCCATGATCTGGACTCCTTGGCAGGAAGCATTGCCAGATAGCACAGCCCTTCCCACACGAAAGCATCGATGCACACTACACACCGAGAGAAAAGAGTCCGGTGGTTGAATGCTTGCAGGCACAAATCGAGGGAGCATATGGCTAATATACGCAATATAACAAGCGAAGGATAATGCGAGAAAGTCAGAACCCAAATCACTACCAGCACTGCTGAGGACAAGGCCAGCAGTTGTCTTCAAGGAGCCGTCTACAGAGCGAATCTTACAGTATCGGACTAGGGCACCATCCGTGCAGCTCCACAGCTGATGGTAAACTTGCGCAGATGAATAAGAATGCTGGGTTACCAGTTATGTTTAGACCATTGTGTACTCAGGGCATTTATTGTAAACCTTTACTCGAATGCTTGAACATGTGATTAACACATACGACGACACGCGACAAGCGTATGTATGCCAACATTTCCAGGCATTGTGGACGCTGTGGCAAACATATCTCAATGCCACACCCAGTTACATTCATTTTTCGGGCGGTGCCAGACTTACTCCTAAGTGTTTTCTGTGTTTCCCTATATGCCATACATCACAATATATCTCGCGACGTAGCTCAGCAGACCGTCACAATACGCTTGGTTAGACAGAGGTTAATCCGGACATACTGAAACATGCTGTTCAGCTCATTGAACTGTGCGATTCAACACAGAAAATTTGGTAGTGAAAAATAGTAAGAAATCAATTACAAATCTGTTTGAATGGTATATACGTGATTCTACTAACAGCAACCTATTACCGAATTTTGAAACCACAACAGCGAAACTTGCTTTGGCCATAACGCGTCATTGTGGTCAAACATTCTATTACTGCAGCTTCGCTATAACTTGAAGTACTTGGAAAACCTTCAGCAAACATTTTTTCTTCGCATCCGAGTTTTGCGTATTTAAAGCTCAAAATTCACGGATTTGTTGTGAGGCGGCGGCGCTCGCAAAACGCCTGGTCCCACGCGGCCAAAAAGCCAAAACGCGCGATGTCGTCAACGTGTTAAGAATGAAGTGAATGCATGGCGTATCCTACATCAATCAATCAACCCCTGTCAGTCATTGCATTATTTGTTTTTTTGTGTCGAAGAGGTGCTTGGAAGAGCTTCGTGATGAGCATATCACCGTTTGCTGGCAGTCAATGTAAAAGAATTCCATCGAGGCAGGGATATGCCTTGTTGGTCTCAAATAGATGGTTCAGCCAACTACACCTCTATTGCGCGCCTTTTTTGTAATGAGTTTGGCACGTGGAAACGATTTTCTGGATATTTCTCAAGATCTCTGTAAATCGAACCGTTCTGGGAAGCTTGTCAACGATGCACGTAGATGTCACGCATGAGCATGTGAGGAGCACCATCATCAAAGAGGACGACAGCTGGGCGATGTTGCTGTAAAGGGCACTACTGTTTGACCAGAAAACTAGTGAGATATCCGTTAGCTAAGGCAGGTTACTTACTTTGGAACTTCAAGGTGTGTGAAGAAATAAGTGCTGTTTTGTAGGATAGGATAGAATGGTAAGGTGAGAATAAGTACAGCAACGGAGATTGCAAAGGCGCCTCGCAGATGTCTGGTAGTAAGAACTGCCTGAATTTATCGGTTAGTGACTCGCACTCACAGAAATTCCACACAGTGACTACCTTAATCCCTCCTTCAGGTTCTTTTACGTCAGTGTCCTTGCTCTCCAACTGGAGATTTGCCAATTCTTCTTCTAGACCTTCACGATCACCCTGGTAGAATCTGAGAGATTTCATTGCAGCCGTTGGATTTTGCCTGGAATTGTTTTCGTTTCATGAAGTATCGTGCCAAATCGGGATGGGAAGGTTTCTACCTACCTTGAGATCATAAGAAATTTGGGAGTTTCTGGCATCAGCACCATAGCTATGGTAGAGATCACACCAGGAATCACTGGCACGAACAGAAGAACTGAGAGCGAGTGACCTAAAAGTGAACTCATCAATCTCTCGTATATTAGCTTTGCATTCAATATACAATGAGTTTGGCAGATGTATTTATGGATAGAGATCCGAGTGGAATATAGGTAAGAACAATGACTGAACCCAGAAACGTTGGCTCATTCGAATGCGCATTCGTCTTACACAAAGATCTACGCGGGCAAAAAATAATCAAACAGCTTTTGATTGTTGATGTGCTGATCATCTATGGTAAATTACTACTGAAAGCTAGGTTGGAGGTGTAACGGACTTAACGATGACAGGCAGCCCATTAGAAACCAAGTTAGAGGTAGCCAGTAGTGCAGGAATGAAGAAAAAACAAGAGAAACAGCTCAGAACTTGAGCAATGGAGCAATGGGGCCCGTTATTGCGCGTTGATTTCAGCATTGATGCGACTCTCATCGGTGCTGCCCTCCCTTCAACGCTAACGCTCTTTCTGCTGAATTCGCTAGACTCTCAAGGCAAGTGCTGTAGCCAGCCGATGTGCGTGCCTACAAGTGCTGATAGCGGCCTCGGAGCGCGTATGCTAAGGTCGCCTGTGCATATCCTTGCGCTGGCGAAATTTGCTTGCCTCGATCCCCACCCTTTGAGCCTCCTTCGCGCGCGAGACTAAACATTTCTTCCAGTAGCAAATTTTCCCCTTTTACTCCTATCGTGGAACCCTCTCTTCAAGGTGAAGCACTGCCAGGTGCTGTAAACGGTAGCTAAAAGCTTGGAATCCGAGAGGTAGGTCCGATATCGGTCTAGGCGCAAATGTTTTGGTTGACGGAATATAGTCGTTCCGTAGGCCCGTTCAGGGAGGTGGAAGCCCACACCACAATTCATTGTTATAATAAATTCCTCCCATGAAAAATAATCCTTTCTTCTTTATTTTGACCAATATCCTACCCACTCTCTAGAAATTCCAAATTATCTTCTCTTGAGAATCCTGCGTGATGTGCTTTTATAGATCTCGTCCCTGTCTAAATAAAGTGCAACCCCCCATGATCGACGGCACTTGAGGTAAAGATCACAAAGTGGACAACGTTTGCAACCTCTACCAGAAAGATGCGCAAAGCCCACATTCCCAAACTACATTTTCTTTCCATTTCTACTTTTCCCTAAGAGTGAGCGATCCTTTTATTTGCGTTGGTTACCAAATGATTAGCCAGCGACGAAAATGGCTGATAATCACAATGGCTCTTTGAAGAGAGAAGGTCATATTGGGCTTGATTGACAGTTCAGTTCCGGAAGTGAGATAAGATTTGATTAGGTCGCTGAGATTTATTAGAATGATTGCAACACTCTCCGTAGAATTCTCATGAAATTCTGAAGAACTTACATGAGGTTATTGAAGACTTTAGATGTTCCTAGGCAGTCCAAACAAAACACGACCGTGCGTCTCTGCGCGCGTGGCGGACATTTGCCAGAATAAACATTGAGATAAAACTCTTCTTACGGGATGGAAAAGTATAGAACCTGGAAGCAGAAGTAGGGCCGGGTGCTCAGCGTGAAGAGGGAGGCTAAATCGGAAGATTGAAAACGAGAGGTCACATTACCAAAAAATGAAACCCCTGTTCAGTGGTGGATCGATTAGTAACCAGATTTGCTAGGAGTGCGGACTGACCCTAGTTACCTAAATCTAGCAATAAACTGTTGCACTGTAGTAAAACTAGAAACACAACAAACCCCATGCGGACTGTTTAGAACGGCTAGGAACAGTTATCTTACCGAGTACGTCTTCGTGGCCTAGTAATACACCGAAAAGGCACAATAACCAGCATCATCCGGTTGAGAAGAGCGACGACATCGTTCCTCTCAGACTTGATGGCGAAATTTCCTGGAATTAAGCAATGTTTAGGTACAGGTTGGCATAAATGATTCACAAATGGAGTCATGAGCCGGAATGTTCGACGCCTCAACCCCAACCAAGAGTGAAAGGACTTGTACCTGAAGATATAGGATAAGGGCAGCATCACTGAGCGGTGAGAAGACAGCGGTGACGATTCGACCAGCAATCAGAATCTGAAGCACATGAAATGGTGACGAATACCGAAGCGGTGAGCATTTGAATGACTTCACCGCAATAACTTCAAAAAAGAGAGGATGATCGATTGATCGATCTACCTCTGGAAAAGGAGTAAGGGACGCAATCATCTGCATTCCACACGCCACCGTCATCACCACGACTGAGATTATGTAGGCTGCTAAAACTGGACGTTAACCGTCGACCACACGGTAAATTATTGCCATCATTGAACATGAAATAAATGCAAGAAAAATTAGCGAATCTTGCGGTAAAGTGAAAGGTGTTTAGGAGAGCATGTGCCAGTTATCATAGAGATTAGTTAGCTTGTTCCGATTGACAGTACCCAGATTTCTGCAAGGGAAGGATGGAAGACAGCTTGCAAAATCCGTGGACTAAGGCAGGCGGTGCGATTAATTAACAACCGCTAAGGAATGAAACCAAAGGTTCTAACAGGAAGAGCGGCGAATAACAAACTGGGGGAAACGGCCTGAAACCCGCAGAACGAGACCCTTGTTCTCCCCGTAGAACTTCGCTTCGGACGAGTCACATAGATGCTGACGTCATCAACGTGAACGTTTCGCTCTGCCTCCCTGCTGAAACGGCTCAAGTCCGAC